CATTCCAGAGATAACTAAATGGCCTTTATTCGAAGTTTCTCAAGAACCATTCGAGCCACAGAATTCGTTTTGGCATCGTTGGATAGAGAATTGGAAAGTCGATTTAGTCGTAACAACGTTAGTGAAGAATTTCGAGTAGTTTCGACCCAGAGAGCGACATTTGAATATCAAACACTTAGGTGCAAGATTATGCCAAAATTCCATGTTTTTCGTGCCCTTTTTGCTCATTTCTCGGAGGCAAAGTGAGCAAGAACGCTCATTTGTACATCGTTCTAGAGAGAATTAAATGGCCTTTTTAGAAAGTGAACCATGCATGGGGATTTGTTGGCAGTTTTCTCAAAAAATGATTGAATTCAAGAATTTGAAATTTTGGCATCGTTGGATAGAGAATTAAATGGGGGAGTCATGACCCCCATGCCCCCCACCCCCCTGGATCTACCCTTGGACAGTTCCGTCTTAGTCGGAAAGCACGGGAGATCACTTCGCCCACTGCCTCATCGCCTTTGATAATGTCCACCGCAGTTGTGAACGAAACGTCAGGAAGAAATTCCCATGGACCACATCTTCAAAGCCCGAAAAACAATTCTAAATGTTGATAATGTTGTCTGAATTTGGCCAATGCTTTCAACTCACAGAACTCCAATTCTGATGGTTTTGCTGACCTTGTGTCGTTTTTTCTTGCATTTCTGCAAGGCCCCTTTTTAACGTAAGTATTGGTCGTAAATTTCCAAGATACAGCTATTTTCCAACATATGGCCAACAATCAGCCATTATTGAAAGATCCGGCATTATTTGCGTCACTGTTCTCCCTGATCATCTACCTGTCGGTTTTTGTTCCGAATGTCGCCGTGGAACAAAAGGAGCCATAGACGATTCACAGTTTGACTTGGTTGACGATTTGTGACCCTGAAAGAGACCATGAGCTTGAGAAGCTTCTTGTGACTTAATTACCGAGGACCGATGATTGATTTGTTCGCAGAAGTAACCCTGTCAGAAGTTTTCCCGATTGAGCCCTTGCGTAACGGTACTTCAGTTATCCCCATTTGTTTAAGAAGAGGTGACAGTGAATCCTGCGGCGAGGGAAGCGTTTCTTTGTTAGTGGTAATCCAACCGGTTTCTTAGCTTAAGTCAATGCCTGTGTGTTGTTAATTTTTCACGGGCTGTGAGGCTTCTTCTGGAATTTCCGATCTAAACGTGATTTGGTGCGGTATAAGCAAAGTGAACATTTGGCCTGTATAGTTGCAACCTGCAAAGGTCCGCAGCTGTGCAAGTCAAGTGGTACCTACTCATATAGCCCCGTATCGATGGGAGCGATTAAAATCGTACCAGCTTGATCAGAACCGGGCAATTATCCGACCGCCAATTACCTCTTTCTCCTTCTACCTAATTAACCTCTTCGGCAAAAATGGCTAATAATCGAGTTCCTCCTAGTATCGCACCCGATGTGTATCGAGTGAGGTGCGCTGCCCTGCGATCAACCGATAAGCCATAGCTTGCCGTGAAATTCCTCATCGCCTCCTCCTCCTCCAACTCCTCCAGCCGATCTCGGTTTTTGCGCTTTTCTTCCTTTGGGGGCTCTCATCTAATTGCTATTAATCAGTGGTTGGGCGCTGCGATCACGGCACGACCGATTAACTTGTAACTCGAACTGGCCGCAAAACAACCACGAGTTTGGTAAACAGTGTGTTTACACTTTCATTGCTTATCTGACCAGTCGGATTTGTCGATTTCTTTCTTACCACCTGATTGGTTCCTAATTCTAAATTTAGGCCAACAGCGATTTGGGCTCTTTTCACGCATTTATAGGCCAATTCGTTTCTTGAACGTGAGTAAATTTTCATAGAGCCAAATTCGGACTTGGAACAGCCCATAAACTATTGATGTCCCGATCGACCACCCATCGATTTCGATTCGCACTACGTTTAACCAATCCGATGCGTATTTAAGTGTTATGCAACAGTCAAAGGGTCAAAATGCGTCAAGCCGAAGCGTTAACATGTAGGTATTCAAAATTGCAACCTCCCAAAATGGGTTGTGCTTGAGAGTTCCGAAAAATGACCAAAAAACTGGAAAATCGCAGGGCTTCAGACCATCGAAAGAAGAGCGTTGTTGGTCGCAGGAACTGGAGGAAACCGATTTGGGCTAGAAAATATTTAAAAATTTCTTATTGCCATGACTTTTTCTTAAAAAACCGTCTGAAGAGTTGAGAGAGTTTCAAGAGAGAAACAATGTTTGCTTGCAACATGAACTTATGGAACAAATATCGCAGGAAAGGTTCCCATCTTCTCTGACCTGGGGTTTAGTCGTTAAGAAAATCTCCATCTAAAACTGATTTTCATAACGAATAAAGTATCAACCTAGTGCAGATGAAACCCATTCTTCTCGCGAGCAGAAAGAGCACAAAATTAATCTATAAAATCTGAAAAATCTTCAAATTCTACCTCCAGTTTAAACACGATGAATTTTGTCAAGTTCCTCATTGCCTTTTCCTAATTACTTGAGCCCCTTAATATGGGAAAATCCCGGTATTTTCGCCACGATGAATTCCCGATCTAATTTGTTGCAAAGGGTTGAATCAAATTGAATTTTTATGATGGGGTAAACTGGCGCATTTTTCCGAAGAACCGCTAGTCTGAACCAAGGTAAATCAAGCCGATGTCATTAAGGGCGCAAAGATAATTCAAATATGTCAATCATTGTCGCCCGAGCGCCCCGCGCCAGTAATTGTTTTCGTGCTCGTTTTCATTATGTTTTCTTTTCGTTATATTGGAGTAAATAATGGAGAGAATGGAAATGGTGGAGTGTTACGCGGTCGCTTTTAATTGACGGCTGGCTTGATATGCGATGCCGCCCTGTAGGGATCCGCACGACTGATTGAAGGGTGGACTATAGGGGGGAAATTGGAAACAGTTTTCCAGATCAATTTCTCCTGCTGGAGGTTTTTTGCATTTTAACTGGCCGCGATGCGAAAACTCCTTTTGATCCAGACGACTTTCACAATCGACCATTCACTTTACAGTGCTCTATTTTGAAGCTGATTTCAGCGGGGTCCTTGCCAGGTTGTGGAAAAAATCCTCAAGTCTGCCCGCAGGGTACAACCATTTTGCCCATAGGGCCGGTTTTCATCGTTTTTTAAACTTCCCTGAGATTCGAAACGAGGCTTTCTCAGTCAAAGGTCTGAAACTGATTAGAACTTGTATTTATCCGGCTGGCAGCAAAGTTTACAAAGTCTTGACGGAACCTAATACCAAGTAGCGGCGGCAACGCTGCGAAACTGATGACAACTGTCGGTGAGTGAACTTTCGTGAACAATGTTTGTTTTAATTTTGGTAAATGTTTGGTTGCTGACGCCTGTCTGAATCGATTTTAGTGTTCTATGTGAAAAAGAGTGTTCTAAAAGTTAGTTTGTGTGGATTTTCTGGTCCCCGGCAACACGATTTTCCCGAAAATTCCTCAACAAGTGTAAGTATAATAACCTAAAATGCAGTCAGGAAAAACGGCCGTGGCTATCGGGTCTCTACCGGCCGTATTCCTAGCGGCTAAAAGAGCCGCTTATTGTCTCGTTTCGGTTGAAGGTTGAAATATTTAGAAAATTTATATTTAATAAATATTTATTTTGATTTGTTGTAAAATATTTTTCTCTGTCCGCTTGATCAAAATGCAATTTTATTTTATATTAATATAAATAGCAACCGATAGATCATTTTTGCTCAATTTTGTCAAAAAAAAACAAACTGCTTCAGTTGTAACGAGCAAAATAAGGAAATTATTAAGAACATCAGGCCCGTGCGTACGCGGTTAAGAACATGCTCACCTGATAAATAATATTTTTCTCAACAACTTTTCTTGGTGATGGTTTTTGCAAAAGTGCGGTTTTCACTCATTAAAATTTACATGATGTTTGGAATGTTTTGCGCATTTACCAAATCTACATTTGGTTTGTACTTCATTTGTTGCTAGATGCATTTTGTAGGCGTGTTTTAGATAGTATTGGTTCGATGGAATAACTGCTTTTTTCTTTCCTTTGTCATGATGATGAAACTATTAATTTTTGTTATCTTATGGGAAACCAATGAGTTTCAATGAGTGAAAAGTACTGAAAAGCCACGTTTCTACAAGATACGACTGATAGGGCACAAAAAAAATTGCTTGGCTTTATAGGCAAATATATAGGCTTTTTTTGTTTGGAATTCCATTTTTTGCGTGTTTATTGGAAATTGGGCATTCTGCTTCTCTGTGAAGAATAGCGTTAAGAAAATCGCGAATTTAGTGCCAAAGCGGAGAACACTTGTCGCTCTGAAAACAAGTTTGTTTTGCTGATCAAATTGGTTGATTTTTTAAAAGTAAAAATCACTTTCACAGACAAAATTGTGCAAGTTTTGTGCGTGTTTGCAGCATACTAAGGAGCGCGTTTTGGCCAAAAATTGTCACATTTGAGGTAAAAAGTTACTATTGGAAATTTTTGCAACACGACACTTGTGCGGTTTCCTCACTAATTTACTCGGATTCAAAGCGCACAATTTGCCCGTTTCTACCTGAAAAATTGCGCGGTTTTCCTTCAGGCTCTCCCTTAAGTTCTCTTAAATTCTCTTAAGGTTCCTGAAGAGGGAACTTTGAACAATGTTTTTGGGTTTCAGATGGAAAATCCCACTGGTTCCAATGAACGCGAGTTACCCTCAAGCTGTCCAATTCGAATGGGAGCAACGGCAGGTCCAGAGCCTGAATATGAAGGCATTCCATGGCCTGGATACAAGCCCCGAGGATCTTTGGCTCGAATGCTGCACAACAAGGCCATCCACGACTACTATTTGAAGCAAATTAACAAAAACGATGTAAGTTGCTCTATCGCATGTCACATAGATATTTCGTCGGTACAAAGCGAAACTCTGAAATATTCAAGAAGTAAACATTGATTCATTATTCAACTCGGGCCATGTTAATAAACGTTTTATGGGGGGACACACGTAAGGAAAATTGGGGATAATTGGTACAGTTTCGCTTAATAGTTTATTAATGAAGATGCGCCCATTTCCCTTGTGGGTCCGCATCGAGATCATGGAATGATGGGGCGTTCATTCAAGTAAAACTCTTGTTTCTTGTCATTGTTTATTCAATTTTATTGCGGCGATAACGCCGGTTATTGTGCAGGAAAAACACGCGTAATGGGGTTAATCCTGCAGGTTTTGTCAACCCAACTGATAACAATCGTCTGTTACCTTGATATTGATACTGCACACCTCATTAGGCTCAGCTAGTTGTTTATTCATTGTTTCCGGATGTGTTGGCTTCTGATGCACAATGTGGCCGTTTAGGCGCAGTTTTACCAAGCTGAAACTATGCGTAAGTAGTAGCCACACACAAAACCTGAGCAATTTATTTTAGAGCCATGCATGCAAATCCTTACAGACAAAAAGGGGGGATAACATCCGAAAGAAAATTACAATACACTCTCAAAGTCTTGTCCTACACGATCCCCCCGGCGAAGAAAAACAGACAATGCTGCTTAGCATTCGCCCCGTGTCCGATTATCCCTTAGGCTACACACACCAGATAGGGACAGCTCACCTAGCTTAGTCCGGGCGCAAAGGGAGCATTCGTCCTTTGCCCCTTTTACTAGTTGTTGTTTTTTAGCCATTCACTCAACAACCAGCTCTGACTGTTTGAGTGATTTTATTTGAGCTGTTTCGGTGAGCCCGGCATGTGAAATCATGGTCGAGACCACCCAGTATAATAGAGCTGGATCGATGCGAAAATGCGCGTGTAATTTTTTAATGCCGCATCCTAAACAAATATGGGGCATATCGGAGTCGTTTGCCCCCTTACTTTGGAGCCCATTATCAGGCGCGCGTTGGACTTCGCCCTCTACGGCCGTTTGTTCGGGTGCAAGACGTTTTTTACGACCTGTCCCCAAGGTGTGCTAACCTTTTTTTCGACGCGCATTCCCCTTTTGGCCCCCCCGACACTGTCGCTGTATAAACAAGTGTGGGGACGCGGGTGGGGGAGTTTTAATCCTCTCACTATTGATTGATTGATTGTGTTTGAATAGGGCGGCAGGGGGTGAAATTAAAATTAGTCAAATTGATGATTGGCGCCATTTGATGCCCAGTCGGTTTGCGTCTGGTTGTTCTCAAGTTATACCGGGTGATCCGAATTTTCTCACGGTATAACCTCACTTTGCAAAATCAGGTTTCATCATTGTGGGCGGAACGGGGCCAATTATGAATCATCCCGCACCAACACGCATTTACCATAAGGTTCCAGCGTTGAATGGCGAGCCCGACAGAAAAACCAGGCGAATTTTGATGGTGTCCAGAGCATTAGATCAGAGGCGGCTGCGGCCATTCTCAGCATTCCATTTCGATGCCGAAAAACGCTGCTCGATTGTTTTGTCACTTGTTCATGGTTGTCAGGTGTTTTTGCCCATGGCCAAAAATCAGGCATTTCTTTAGGACCCAACGCAGTGGGCGAGTTGGATTAATGGAGAAAGTTTCGATTTTCAGCAATCATCAGGAAATTTTAAGGTATTTTTGGAAAGTGCGCTTCAGGGAATTTTTCCGAAATTTTCAACAGTGTGTTCGGTGACGGAGTTTGGCATTTAGTTGTTTAGGAACAATTTATTTGTTTTTCATGCATTTTGCAGGGCAAAGTCTCAAAGGTTTAGATTTGTTTCTTTTGGAACTTTTTTAAATTCCTTACTGTACTCCTAGATAATCGATGGCTGAGTGTAAAAATCAATTAATGCCCCCGCCGAATTAGACGCAGTCACTCATGCACCTAAACGTGCCTTCTCCACATCGATAAATCTTCTTTATGGGCGCCATAAAAATTATCAGACGACTTGTCCCTCGACTTCGGCCCAATAAAAGCGCATACGACCCATGCAAGACGATGTATGCATGAAGTTTTATAATTTTCCTGCAAACTACTTACGGGAGTTGCCTGAAGTTACCTCCGCTCCTATTTGCGTTCCAAAGACGAATCGCTCCCTGCTGACGAATAGATTATGTCTTTAGGGGGCGCGATGCGAGTAATTACAATCATCCATTGCAACTGATCAGAACTGTGCAGATTTCTGAGTCTGCTGCAGCGAGGAGATGAATGTCGGGCGGTTCTTCCTGTTGGACAACCAGCAGAAGCAGCAGCAATTTTTAGCAATTATCGATCGATTAATCGGCATATTTGCGATCGTTCGCATAATAAGCGACAAAGCCAGATCGCCAATCATTTTCCGATCATTACTGACTGCTTTGAATTCATTAAACATGGTGGCACACATCAAAGTTATCGTCGGAATGCTAAAAACGTTATGACAGTTTATGAGATATAATGAGCGTGTGTTTCGAAGGCATTTCTTTGGCGCTTTTAAAAAGCGTTTTGATCTAATTATCGGCCGCAAAAAGTCAATAAGAAAGCCTCCGGACTGTTGGTAATATGCTCTTCGCTACGTGAAGGTATTAATGCGGATTAGCGATAGTCGCGGTCATCTGGGCGATCTCATTACCAAGTGTTGCATACACGCATAATCGTCTGCTGTTGCCCAACTTTCTGCCCAGCAGATCACTTCTGGTCATTTGTTTAAGTCATGATCATCGCCATAAATACAGCGGAAAGGCGTCGAAGACGTCTAATTAATTTTTTTCAGTTTCAAAGGTTTAGGATCAATGGCGCGTGTACTAATTGATGGGCCATTAGATTTTAAACGGCCCTTTGGGGTGGAAAGTGCTTTAAGGAAAAAACGGGCCGCTTTTCGCCCGTAATTTTAGCCCTTCGATGCGAAAGCGTTTCACGTCGTCGTCCCTAAAAAGGTTTACAAATTCACATGTGTAAGACGTTCGCACAGCTTACTTTTAAAATAAGGGCTCTCGGCCCGTTTGTTATGTCTTCTTACTTTGAAGTATTGGAAAAAGGGCGCGTAGGCTCTAATGACATCCCCTCTCCGCCGTAATCCATGCATACACGGCCCTCTACTTTCCATCGTCTCGTCAGATGATCCGATTAGATTGTGTTCATTTTTTCTTCAATACAGCTCCGATCGAATTCGCAATTTTCCCTGTCTAAGGCGCGTTAACTAAGTTCGTCTTTTTGCTAACGTTTCCAGATTTCCAGAGCCGTTTTTGCATCTTTCCATCCTCAGCGGATTCGCGTCGGCTGCCTGGGGATCGTTTCTTTTCCGTTTTTACTGCGGCCGTAATGTTCAAAATTCACTACAGGGCTGATCCCTCGGGATTTTTCCCGCAAAATTAGGTGCTTTGGTCGGATGTTTTTGCATGTCGCCGGATAATTACTCGGTCTGTCTTACGGTTATCGCACTGAAACCGATTCACTGCACGTCTCTAATTCAATAACTTTGTGCGCGAATTGCACGGTGCTAAAGCCGTGATTTACGAGCCACCAAATGGAATTTGTTATATTGATTCCACTGTAAATTAACCATGGGTCACTGAAGGCGAGATCCATATGGTTATTTATTCATAAGATTTGGGCGTGGGCCGGCCTAAGCAGGGGTGACAGTAAATTATTGTCGATTTTAAAATGCCACTTCTTGATTATGCCATTTTAAATTGCCAATTGACTGCCTAATTGAACATCTTCTGGGACTTTTTTGGGAAAACGGCCAACATTTCCTGACCGATGGCTCACTTTCTAAAAAGGCCATTTAGTTATCTCTGGAAAGGTGTAAAAATGAGCGTTTTTCCCCATTTGGGACGGAAAACATTAAATTTTGGCATAATCTTTGCACCTAAGTGTCTGATATTCAAATTTCCCTTTCTGGGTCAAAACCACTCGAATTTTCTCACTCATGTTGTTATTTATGAATCGAGTTTTCAATTCTCTATCCAACGATAACAAATCGAATTTTGTGGCTCGTATGGTTCTTGAGAAACTCCAAAAAAAGCAGCGCCATGTTTGAGTCGGTTTTACATCTCAACAGAAAAACACGCAAATTTAAAACTTCCTGAAACCAAGACTTTTTGAGCGAACTGCCAACATTTCCTGATCTCTCTGAAATGTATCTGATACTCAAATTTCGCTTTCTGGGGATTTATTCCAGCTCATCAAAAGGAAATTTTGCTACAGTGAAACTGCGTATGTTGAGACTAAATGTGAAAATTTCAAGTGGAAACTCGACCCAGTTTGGAAGTTACCGATGGTTCCGTATTAACGGCACTTTTGCTGGTTGGTCCTTTTGCAAGATTAAGAGCAAAACCAAACTAAATAATAAAGATATTAATACAAAGAGAAACCGGCCATCAGTGTTTCAAAGTGTAATCGGGAGCAATAATGAGGTGTATTAAGGTGCTAAACCAAGATCAGTGATCGATTGTGTCAAAAGAGCCCTGCCTCCTTCTTCGGATGCAACCTTTAATTATAGGGCCGATTCCGGACGAAATTGATGGCATTCTTTCAACGTTTGTTCTTTGGTTTGGCTACCGGTTTTAATCCGCTGATCAGTCGGGGCGCGTTTATCGACACAGGCGATTCGGTCGATTTGCATCAGCTGGCGCTGAACTAAGGGAAAAGTGGCATTTTTGTTTCGCCGTAATGTAAATGGAAAGTGCGGAACTTAGAAACTCGATTTCGAAACATATATTTTTACTTAAGGGGCCCGGCCCCTCCGCTCAATAAGAATTTATGTGTTCCCGAATACCTTGCGGCGTTCGCGATCACATTTTGATTGGTTATGCGGAGTAAAATAGTGGGTAAAATACTCCAAATCCCTTTTTCGCCCGAAATGTATAAATTCGCAGAGATGTGAAAACGGTGTTTCTCTTTTTCGCGCCGTCCTTGCCCTAACGAAATAAAGATGTCGGCATGGGGGGCGAGGAGGATTTCATAATAGGGCGCAGCTCGCTGCTATTGATTTATTGCTATTGCCACCTAATTGCTGTTAATATGGTTCAGCGGGTCCCTCAAGGTGACCGGAGTCTGTCTGCTTAGACAATTTGCAGTCAGTTTTCGTCCAGTGCAGCTAAAATGCCAAACGATGCCAGTTCAGGTTTCATGTTGTTGCAGTGGTACCAATGCGACTTGACGCAGCTGCATCCGGATGTGGCAAGGACGTTCGTCCAGCTGGACCCCGACCAGGACACCATCAGCTTCCTGGAGGAGGCCGAACGAAAGTCCCAATGGGTGCTAACGCAACTGTGGCACACCGTCGTCAAAATGTTCCTGGGATGGTTCATGACCCAGACGTCCATCAATGGGTAAATCAAAGCCTTTGCTTGTATGTATTGCACGGTTTAATCGGTTCCACTAACAAACTCACCCCGACGATGCCGTTGTTTGGTTCGTATAAAGGAGCCTGGTTCTTTCATCTGGCACGGCTATTAACGCGGACTGTTTAACCGTGAAGTTAGTCGTGGTGTTTTAAATTAAAAATTACTTATTGTACCTGGCCGGCTACCAGACTACGTGTTTAATTATTCTTCATTATTGTTTAATAGCTTTCGATGTGTGGGCAGGGCAGGAGTTGCCCGAAGTCCCCCTTGAAACGAAAAATGCTTTAGAGTAAAATGTCCAGTTGATGAAAGAACAAGAGTCGATGTGTGGTTTGCAGCAGGAGTTTTTAATCAATGGCAAAACAAAGGGAGAGCATTAAATCTATTCGATAATGGCACGGTGTTACGGGCAAAGTCAATTTGCGGAAAAAGTCTAATAAAACATCGAGAAACCGCTTATTTGATATGTGATAGCCAGTTTCGAGAACTACGGAGCGGAATAAAAAGAATGTTTAATTGAAAATGGCCGAGGCCCGTTCTTTGACCAGGCCAGTAATAATAATTATAATTGGCTCGGCCAGTTTCATAAACCGAAAACCGCAAGAATGTTTATCAGAACCGTACAGACCGAAAATTGCTCCCCAATGGGAAAAAAGCCAGGCAATTTGTGTTTTTGCTATTTCATATATCTCGGGCGTTTATCTTTTCCCTGTTGTTTTTTTTCTGGTTCGTTCTTTAGTCCGTAGCTAATTTGCAGCTCCATTCACACGTAGGCGTCGAATAAATCATGCAGTGAGCTCGCTAATTGCTTAGTTGGTTCGGATGCAGCGCAAATAGCCCGTAACCAGATTAAGCTGAGCCCCATCAACGCCTCTTTCACTTACCAGTACCAACCAACCAACTAAATAATACCATATTTCATCTACTACCACTTGGTGCTGTTGCTGCTCTCGACGAAATCCACGTTGGCTGATGGTTGATGATTCTTCAGCCCTGCTGTTTAGTTGGCATCAACATCTTCAATTAGATTCCGCGTTCAGTAGCAGACCGAATTCGAAACACTGCCAGCCTCTCTCTTTCTCGCCGTTTCGGTGTGTTATTGAATGTTTTTAATTAAAAATTAATTAAACCGTTGACAAAGAAGAATTCCGGGAAGAACTAAACCGACCCCGGTCTTTTGTCATTAAAAATAAAACGCCGCGTCTGTTCGTTAGTCTCTAATTTCTACCTGACTGTCATTTTGAGCATAACTAATTATATAATTACGTTTTTTTTCTCTCCTCTGCCTTCTTCTCCACTTATTCACGTCCTCCTCGCTGACCATCATTAAGAAGCGCTTGAAAAAAATTATTATTAGTAGCTGCGTGAACACCCAGTAGTAATTATTATAGAATTAGTGCGGTTTTTTAATCGAAATTATCGGGGAGACTTTATTCGGCCGCCAGCGCAAACGTATAATTAATATTAATAAGAACTCAACAACATTTTTCGACGGTTCTTCGATATTTCACGTGACTCAGTAGGTGCGAAAAACAGCCATCGTCAGTCATTACCGCTAATGACCGCCATATAAAATTCACTAATTAAGGGCCGAAATGCTAAGTCACGTTCGGGCACAAAAGCACCCTACGACACCCCAATTTCTTTTGCCCGCACTCTATACGACAATTAATCACAAAATGTGAAGATGATCATATTTACCTGCTGCTTCTCTATGTCTATGTTTGCCGGAAACCGGCCTTTTTTAGGGAATTTTTCCTATTTTTTGCTCGCGTCTTTCATTGCAAGTTCGTTCATTAAACTTAGTAAAAAATTTTTGGATAAATGTTGAAGTCACTCTGCGTGAATCGCTTCGATGAACGTCTTCTATTAATCTCTTTTAATTTGCGAAGAGAAATTTTGTCTTTTGCGTAAAAACTGCCAATATCGTGATGCAAAAGCGGGCTTTTTAGCTCAAATGGTTCTTGAGATATGAGTAAAATGGACATGTTTGAAACAGTCAGCTAATTTTGTTGGAACCGCGAACAAAAAATCCTTTTTGGTGTCAAAACTGTCGGTATTTTGTGATTGATTTTTCATATGGTAAATGCACATTTTCACGCTTTACCAATTGGTGCAAAGATCAGTTTGCTGGGTTAAACGACGTCGAAGACGCGAGGAAAAATTGGCTATTGGTGCCAAAATTGTCGGTATTTTGTGACTGTTTTTCGCGATAAATGAAACTCTTCGTGCGTTATCCATTGTAGTAGATGTAGAGATGAGATAAACCTGCAAATGGGTTTTCAAGCTCTATCCAGTGGTGTTAAAACGGGTTTGGAAGCTCAAAACATTCTCGAGATATTGACAAAAACGTGGTGTCATGTTTGAAGCAATCGCCTAATTTTGCGGAAACCGAGAGCAAAAATGCAATGTTGGTGTCAAATTTTATGACTGCGGTTTGATGCGAAAAGTGCACATTTTCATGCTTGATCCATTGCCGCAAAGATCAGTTTGTTAGCTCAATTAATTCTGCAGATATTCGCATAAAAGTGGAGTCATGTTTGAAACAATTGCGAAATTTTGTCGGAACCGAAAGAACTTCCTGTTTGTGGCCAAACTGCCAAAATGTTTGGTTTGGTGCTTTATCCATTGGTGCAAAAAGGAGTTTTCCGGCTTAAACTGCTTTTGAGATATTTGCAAAAAGGTGGCGGCATGTTTGAATCGATACTCAACTTCGTCCTCTAGACCGAAGGAGTCTATTGAAAGAGTCGAAGAAAATTATGGATTTTGCTGGCTCAAATGGCTGTGAAGATGTCAACAAAAAAGAGGCGTCAAGTTGTGCTGTGTTTCTGTTTTGCTTTTTCGGTGTCATCATCAGGAATTTCCCAGTCAAGTCCATGTTGATTCACTAAGCGAGCAAACAACTGCAGCCGATTCAGTGAAGCAATATCAGGCCCAGCTAAGCCCATTCTCGTTTAAACTAACAGGTCTTTCACTTAGAATTTAAGACATTCATCTCGCCACTGTGTTACGCAGTTAAGTTGATCCGAGAGGCTGATTACATCTCTATTTTGACGACCATGTACGCTTTTCATCCGGTGTATTCAACACCGAAGCGAACTTATTAAGCTTGATGACTCCACGGGTTTGAGCCGGGGCTTTTTGTTTGTTCAACGCAATCAAAATTGCTCCCATTCGGTTCGATGCAGTTCGCAGTTCGGCGCAGCAGCAGAGTTAGAAGTGGCTGCAGAAATGGGCAAGCCTCTTCCGAGAAAAATCAATCAAAATAACAATTAAAAAGCAGCCTTAGTTAATTACCAACCTATAAATAACCCGTTTAACTGCCGTTTTAACACCGAAACTAAATGTCACGCCTGCTTTGTGTTACCCTTTTTTTCTTTGCTTTCGTTCGTTTGCCTCCACCTCGGCACCGGTACCAAATTAAACATCGGAATTACGTGTGTGGAACCGTAAACGTCACGTTGAAATATTGTTTTTCCACAATTGACAACCCTTTTATCGCCCGAACTTATTGGCGTATGGATGATTGATTTTTGCTTGTCGCCATTCTTCATCAAGCAGCAGGGTTTGGAGCTCGTTGCTCCTCAAAGTCTTCTTCCACATCAATTCCCGCGGGTTTATCGGCGCGCATCTTGCAAATGCTTGCCCAACTCCACCATTCTGCATAAAATCTTGCAGTCAAATCGGTTATTGTGTCGTCTGCTGTTTTCATTCTACAGAGTGGCGCTTTTCCCATTTGAAAACTTGCCGGTTCTGTTACGGCGGTTTGGACTTGAGGGTGTTCAGAAGGTGAGGTTCCAGGCCAGTCCAAAGCAACTGAAGAGCATTTTTCCCAGTCCCGTTGCCCAATGGGTGCTTCACTTGTTCGATGTTCGGCTCAGGTGTGCGGTATGTCCACTCTATAGGCCAGTCCTCTCCAAGTAAATAATGCAGATTGGGTTGGTGGCCGGTCTACAGTCCGGATCCGTTGACGTGTGTGATTGAGAGTGATTGACAGGAGACGGCGCGTCTGTGAGCGATTCATCCGCTTATAAGGCCGTTTCGGGGCCGATCCTTTCCCTGAAGACCGCGATGCAACATCGTCCACCTGGACGCATTTAATTGGGATAAAAAACGGACCCAGATTGAGGCTGGTCGTTCGCCATTATTTGCAAATGAAATTCCCATCTCAAATTCGGACAGTTATTGACGAGCGTCACACAAACCCTTTTTTCTTGCCTCACCCGGTATCTACATACAACATTTCCATCGCGGATCTGATGACTTTCGGTCTAATATTCAGGCGAAAAAACCGATTCAGAGGACAGTTGCTCATCAGTTAACGACCTGTGGTAGTCCCTGTCCAAGGCATACCTCGAGCATATGGTCCCAGCGTACTTTTGTAATTATTGGGCATGCCATCGTATTTATCTCTTTAATGCGTTTATGATTGCGCCAGTAAAAACCGTACAAATGCCTCTTCCTGTCGGCCAATTGTCATTCCGAGATCGTTTTCTTTCATAATTTGTCGTAATAAGTAGCAGCGTGTGTGTGACCTGGCCATATTTTCAATTATTCATTCCCCATTCCCCAACCGTTTTTGATCGGTTATTAACCGGCGGTTTTTAAGAGAAACACGCCTGAACATCAACTGGATTCTGGAAGGATCTGGCAACGTTGGCCAATAATTGCACCGATTTATTGTGGCCATAAACGTGGGCCATGTTTAAAAATTCGTAACCTCCAATCCTCAAATGAGAGCGACTTGAAATTCGCACACCCTATAGAAAACAATTGAGACGAAAAACGCTGAAAATTTCACTCAAATCTCTGCAGAGGCTGATTTTTGGCCATCTTATCAATGAAGCACGGAAAATTGACATCGTCGG